CAGCTGTGTGACCTTGGATTACTCACCTGCTATTTTTATATCCAGTTTCCTCAAGTGTAAAAGAATGGAAGAATGCAAAATGATTAAATGCTATGACAGTAGTACATGCCAAAAGCTAGGAGACTGCAGAGAGAGGAGGCAAGGATATTGACTACTAGTGAGGATTGTAGGGTAAGCGTGGGGTTCAACAGTAGAAAAGGTTAATTCCTGGTACTGTGGGAATACAGAGCTAACTAGGTATGGAAGAGCAAGGATGATGCCCCTGCTAAGGTTGGGTCATGAGAGTTTCTTATGGAGCCAAAAGGAACCACTTCCCCCATGGCTTCTGGAAACTTGTTCAATGAGCTGGAAGCAAGAGTACTGATGGTGAGGTGTGCCTAGAGTTGGGATTCCCAAAAATGGTACAATGGGAGATCAAGGAAGCATAATAATCTGGGATATTAATGAATGGGAAAAGACAGTCCCTGGTGTAGGCCTTTCCAGTTGTTAAATTTTGAATAGATAGCATTCTAATGCCACTGTGAGACACTGCTCACAGAAGCCTCTTATATCAAAAAACATGGTCTGTGTGTCAAGACATCTACTCTCTCTTCCCATTTATGGCCCCAACACATGGCAAAACACATAGATTGTACTGATACAGACAACCTTTTAAAAAAAAATTTTTTTAACGTTTATTTTTCAGACAGGGAGAGACAGAACATGAACGGGGGAGGGTCAGAGAGAGAGGGAGACACAGGATCTGAAACAGGCTCCAGGCTCTGAGCTATCAGCACAGAGCCCAACTTGGGGCTTGAACTCACGGACCACGAGATCATGACCTGAGCCGAAGTCGGACGCTTAACCCACTGAGCCACCCAGGCGCCCCATGATACAGACAGTCTTAAGTGACTGAAAAAAGCACTTGGCTAGCTATAGGCAAAACTGGTAAAATTATGTTTAAAGTATTATACATCCTCTGTGCCCTACACTCTTTCATTTTTGGGCCTCATGCCTTTTGGCCCACATGTCTCAGGGTGACCCTTTTAAGCCTATCACAAGTCTCAGGGTGACCCTTTTTATTTGTCTAGGAAAAACAAGTCTGATTTAAAAAAAAAAACATAAAACAAAAACAAAGTAGGACCTTCAAGTTGTAAGTTCAATACCTTTCATGTGTATAACATCTGCCTATAAATACAAAGCTTTATTGTAAGGATTTTCATAAAAGGCCCTCCCTAGGAATAGCAAATCTGGGACTCCAGACTGAGGCAGGTAGCCTGTTTTGAGAAGAGACTTTAATTTCTATTACAAACTGGCACGATGAAGGTCAGCTCAAAAAAAGTTCTAAAGTTGAAGCCCTTACCTATTTTTAAGGTCTCCCTTTTCTTTTTCAATGGATGCAAGGCAGGACTAGAGCTATTTTATCCATTAGTCACAAAAGGCATAGTGCTTAGGAACTCAAAGCTTTTCAAAGGCCTGCGAAAATGTTTGAGGTTCTAGAAAAACATTTCACTTAGTACAAAAGAAGAAAGAGAAACCCTAAAATTAAAATTAATTTTAATTCTATGTGTTCTAAATATAACATCATTGCAACCTCATTAATTATTAATCTCAGTGTTAACAAAACTATACTTTTGAAAATACTTAGTCACTTAGGCTTTTTGTATAATGATTGTCAAAAATTACATGATTATCATCAAAAGTCATCTTAAATTATAAACTGAATAAGTTATAACTAAATAAGCCTAAATATATTAATTTTTATTAATTCACTTATTTTTTCATTTCACATGCATTTTATTCACTTCACAAACACTTAGTTTATACTAGGTCAGCAGTGGTCAATGTAGAGCATTAGTACCCTTATAAAATGAGAAGACTTTATAAGAAGAATACATATATACATAGTTTTAAGTGAATTCGTTTTCAAATGTTCAACTTTTATATGTTCTCAATACAGTTTCTGATCTGTGTAAGAACAAGGGTGCTCCTCTGGTTCCATTATCCTACCACCTCATTTACAATCAATACTCTTTCTTCCCATTGCAATTAAAAGCGTGCATCTAGAACACACACACATGCACACACATGCACACACTCACACCTAGGGTGGTACAAATATTACTATAGATGCCGAAGAACTGAATGACTGTATTGCTAATATAACACATCTTTAGAAAATACCAGCACATTTTTGTTGATGTTGCTTTGCTTTCAACATAGCTGAGGTAGGAACAAGTTGTATTTCACATAATTTTTATTGCTTGATCATTGTGATTTTGGGGGTGGGAGCCGTATAACTCTGTAGAAGCTTAAAGATGTAAGTGACATCACTACAAGAAAACTCCTTCCATTTATACCTAATTAGTTAGACAAATGAGTTATCTCAGTGTTTACACTGATAACAACCAGATAGTGGAATTTGAATTGGTATAGGAACCTGTCTTCTTCTAGCAATGTGATAAATTGAAAAAGAAAAGCTCTACCCATACCTGTAACAGATTGATATCCAACAATTTTTTGTTTATTTATTTTAAAAATCTTACATTATTTTTATCATTTATTTATAAGAGACAGAGAGAGACAGAGCATAAACAGGGGAAGGGTAGAGAGAGAGGGAGATACAAAATTTGAAGCAGGCTCCAGGCTCTGAGCTGTCAGCACAGAGCCCAAAGTGGGGCTCGAACCCGTGAACCTTGAGATCATGACCCAAGCCAAAGTTGTATGCTTAACCAACGGAGCCATCCAGGCACCCCGCATTTATTTATTTTGAGAGAGAGAGAGAGGGAGAGAGAGAGAGAGAGAGAGAGAAGGGGAGGGGCAGCAAGAGAGGGACAGAGAGAATCTCAAGCAGGCTCTGCACTGACAGTTCAAGGCTCAAACCATGAACTGTGAGATCATGACCTAAGAGGAAATCAAGAGTCAGACACCTAACCAAATGAGCCATCCAGGTGCCCTCCAACAAATTTTTCTGGTTTAAATTACTTATCAAAATTTAAAATACAATTTTTAATCAACTGTGACATTAGTAATAATCAGTCCAGAGGACATTTTTCAAAGCTGAAAATCTCAGGATTACAGGATTTTTTAAAAAATTATTTTTTTCTCTCTATAGGAGTATACAAATATTTTGTTTTCTTTTTGTTGTATAGAATATGATAGTGCAATCAAAAATATTTTTATGAAAAATATATTAGCATAAAATTATGTGAAGGAAGTTAATGGAAACATACGTTTATGGAAAAAGAGTACCTATTTTAAAATTTCTGAATGCAAAAACAGAACTCCTTCAAGTATTTTTTCAGTGGATGGTGGTGACTATTAAAGCACTATATAGTATTTAGAGTTCTTTGAAAACATTTAGAAGAATGATGTGAAAATTTTATTTTTAAATGTTAACATTTACAACACGGCAGAAATTATAATTCCTATAACCATTTACAATTATGGTGAAAATTATAGATTAAAAATAATATAACCCTAAAAATGTATAAGCAAGCAAGGTGTACAAGTTTTCAAAGTTCTTTTAGGGTCACTTGGGTGTCTCAATCGGTTAAGTGTCCAACTCTTGATTTTGGCTCAGGTCATGATCTCACGGTCATGAAATCAAGATGAGCCCACATCAGGCTTTGCACTCAACATGGAGCCTGCTTGAAATTCTCACTCTCCCTTTCTCTCTACCTCTCCCCTGCTCATGTGCTTGCATGCTCACTCTCTCTAAAATTAAAAAAATAAAAAATAAAAAACTATAAAATCCAACACACAAAGTTCTTTTAGAGAATATTCTAGAAAATTGCTTACAGTTCTCTGCACTGGATACTGTGCTCAGAGCAAGTTTCCATGCTATCCCATCCTACAAGAACTCTTGTAAAACATTTCTATGGCACATTCATACACTCAGAAGTTGTCAAAGGGAAGAAGGCAACACAAACAGATTTGGAAGCTTATTATCAGATATGCAATACAGTTATTGAGAGAAACAGTCAAAATTAGTAACAAGAATCACTTCTTTATATACTTTCTTAATATAATTAACAATTTTTTCTTCTTGGTACATTTGTGGACCCTATTCTATATTCAGGTTGTTCAGGTTATTAATCTTAAAGGATAAACTTGGAACTGTTAGTCTAAAATGTATTCTTAATTAATGTATACAGTATTCTTCTACCTTACTTTAGGACAATCTTTCATTTATTGAATCAACTAACACTGAAGAGTCCATAATGTCCAATTATATCACAAAGCATTGGGAGTGGGAGGTGGCAATGGCTTAAGGGGGAAGGGGTTATGAAGAATGATAAAATATGTCCCCTAATCTGGAAAATCGATGTTCCAGTTTTGTTCTTTAGTTTTCTACCAACAAAAATAAAAATGATACATCTCTGCTTATAACCCCTGAATTCCTCTTAGTTCATCAGTAGAATAGAAGAAAACAGAAGCCATGATGAACACACATTATCTATGTTTCTCTGCCTTTGTATAAATTGTGTCATTTACTTCAATGCTGTTTATGTCCTTATTTGCCCAATAAATACTCACTGAAATCATCCCTGGTATGTGAAGGAAAAATTAGTCAATGTTTTTATATCTATTTTGGTTTAGAATAACAGACTCTTAAAGAATTGCTAGCTCTGGGCAGCGGCATCTATTAAAGTAAGGCAGGAGAATCTGACTCATGGCACAGTTGCAAATAGGTCTAATCTTTTTTTTTTTTAACGTTTATTTATTATTTTGGGGACAGAGAGAGACAGAGCATGAACGGGGGAGGGGCAGAGAGAGAGGGAGACACAGAATCGGAAACAGGCTCCAGGCTCTGAGCCATCAGCCCAGAGCCCGACGGGGGGCTCGAACTCACGGACCGCGAGATCGTGGCAAATAGGTCTAATCTTATCTGACCAGTTCTGAAGCTGGGATGTCCTTCAAACTTGTCCCAAATTAAGGAAAGGGGATGAACTGTTTGTATCCCAGCATCATGCAGTCATTGGACTTAGGGCACAACTCTAAAGGATATACAATCTCGGGCAATACAGTTACTGGAGCTGAAGGCATTATCCAGTGGCGGACATGACTCTAAGCTGCTATCAACGGCCAGTAGCTCCAGAAGTATGGGTGCATTGCCTGGGAAGAAAAGCTCTTGATGATGCACCACAGCATATATTCTAGACCTTACAGGTAAGTTATAATTTATTCATTTAAGCAATACCTACTTTATATAAGCCACGTTTTCTAGGTGTTTGGGAACACTGTTGATAAAAACAGCCAAATATACTTGCCCTATGAAACTTATGTTCTAGTGAGGAGTAAACATTACCCGTGGTAAACACAAAGATAGAGGAAATTGTACTGAATGTTAGAAGATTATATATACTATAGTAAGAATAGAAGGTAGAGCAGGAATAATAGTTTTTACACAGGTTGGCTACATTTTATTATTATTTAATGCAATGTTCACACATCCCCCTAGAAATTTAGTTTCTTGAAGACATTCTTTCTATACCTTATGCCTAGAATGAAGTCAGGGTTCAACTTGTTACTGGAGTGAATGAGTGAGACAGAATCTGAGAATATTCTCCTTAACTTAGAAATAAAAGCAGAAGGGATAGGGAGTTGTGTCCTTTTGGCTATAAACTGATCTGATAGAACTTGATAGAACATTCTGTACTTGATAGAACATTCTGTTCATATTAACAACTAGGTCAATGAAATTTCCGCCTTTTTTTCCTCTTTTCTTTGATGATCTTAATTGTTACTCACACATCATGAGCAGAGCTGCCTTGGTGTTTAGAGTAAGTGGTTGCCTCTAGGGTATGATTTGAAAAACTGCATAAAAAACCCCTCCCCACAGAAATAGACGAAAGCATCCAAGTGGCCAAGTGTTAAGATTCTACTATTAAAGCTTACAACAAGGAAAATTAGTAAGAATTGTCATCTCCCTACCTTAAAAGCCAAGACTCCCTTTGTGATAACTCACTGAATCACTGAGTAATGTGTCTTCCTGACTACTGTGTCCTGAAAGAATTTAAAGTGTACGTGGTGGAATCCAAACTTGTTAAGATATGACTTAGAGCAGAGGCCCTCACTATCATAAAATAAGGAGAGGAAAAAGAGAAGAAGGTGGAACTAAAAGTTGTTTGTTTATACTCCTAGAAAGTGATGGACTGAGTTAGCTTGAGTTCTCCCTGGGTGTTCAACTGGTCATTAGACTTGCATACAATTTCCCTGGAGTACCTCATGAAAAGTCTTCTCCAACACAACTTCAGAAAAGAAGTCAGTCCACCTTGAAATTTTAGGACTGGGCAACAGCTATGTTTGGAGAATGACTGAAATATTGTGATGAAGGATATAAAAATTGTACAGCACTTCCTTTCTAATTCTTCTGTCACACAACAATAGATAAGCCTCCAGGAAGGGGTGGAAAACTTTGTTCTCTCAGGAGTCAATGATTAATAGGAATAAAAAAGAAAGGTGCATACATATCTATAAATGTTGACTCTATGTCTTATATTTTGTTTATAGAGAAAATTTTAAAAAATATTTTAAAATTGCAAAAAGAAATTATAATTAAATCCAATAATTATTACATATGATTAAACTAAAATATATTTATAAATATATTTTGAATAGAAAAGGAAGAGAAGAAAAAAGTCAATAGAAAGGAAAATAATAGAAAGGAGAATGGGCATAAGATTCTTTAAATAAAGAGGGATAAGCCAGATAGAGTGGTAGGATACAAGTGGAGTAGAATACCAATAACATAAAGAAGAAAGTGATAGACATAGAGGAAGAAGAATGAGACAGAAACTAGCAGCTGGAGGCAGAGTGGGAAAAAGAAAAAAAAAAGATAAAGAAACAACTATGAACACATGATGAATGTAATGGCAAGTAAATGATTCTTGATCCACATCTGGTGCCCACTGGGTTTTGAGCATTATGTTATCACTATTGTACCCAGACTTGTAGCATTTCCTGCTGGCTGAAACACTTAACACAACACTGGGAAATAGGTTTGCCATCAAATTTAAATTAAGACATGATTTTGGAATAAAGTTTTGTTTTCTTACGGGATTCAGTAAGTTTTACATGTGTGTGAAGAAAACACACTTTACTTTTATGGGCCAAATAATTTATTGCCAATTGGCCAAAGTCTCTATGATATTAAAAAGTGGAATTGTCTTATTTCAAAATACCTGCAAGCAGCATTTTATAACCACTCCATTGATTTTACCTTTTATTTCTTTTCAAATTAAATTTGCTAAATGTAGACTAAATTATAATTAGTCTAAGGATATTAAAAAATATGCAGTAAAATAGTTTAGAAATATCCATTATTTATCATAAGTTCATATCTCTTAAATTAAAAGTGCAAACACATGTGAAACAACTCTAGATATTGTTTGTTTTGAAATAGTTCTCTGTGGTAGAAGCCATGACATACAACCCAGATTCCCCTTTCTGGAATGAAGAGCTTATTACTTTCTGGTATCTGCTGGGAATGTTGCCAAAAGAAAGCCTTCTGCTGTCAGCCCTTTATACTATCATGGTTACTTGAGATGAAGAGAACCACCTCTCCCAGGGTAGGTCCTTTTCCCAGGGTGACTGCTCAAATGACTAAGATCAATACTGCCCTTAGTCACAGGAAAGTGGTGACTCTACAATCACTGTGACTCAGGGCTCTCAGGGTCTTTTTGTAGTTCCTTCCTCCAAATATTCTAAGTCCTCCTCCAGTGCCTGGAACCAGCTGAGGCCAATTGTGCCATCTGGGTGGGATTCCATGATCCCAGAGCTAGATGTGGACCAATGTAGATCCAGTCCCATCTTTTCCCATTTAGGGCACTAATCAATTTTATACCAATCCATCCCAGCCCTGCACATGGTTTACCTGTCCAGGACTTATATCTATGTGCTCATCCTAAGGCCCCACAAACATAGCTCCCATCACAAGAAGGTGGTTAGAAAACATTATATTTTATGGTATCATGAGAGGTTTGGTCACCAGAATAGGGCTGGGGTACTGATCTGGGGTGACTTTCACATTGGACATAGAATGAGTTTAGGTCTTTGTACTACCAACAGTTTGCCATCAGTTCTTGAGCTTGAACTGCTTGGTATATACCCTTGTTGGTTTTTACCTGTTCTTGGTTGTAGAGCAGTTGTCTGTACCCAAGAGAAATGAGGATAGCAATAGGCATCCTTTACCCTGTAAACCTCCTGCTGCTGGTACCCAGCATAGTCCCTTTAACTCCTCCACAAGTTCTATGCCACAAGTTGGGTAGTCCATCAGGTATGGCCACAACTAAATCCTTTAGTGGCTTTCAATATCATTGATCCACAATACCAATGGCCCATCCAATCAATATCCCCCTTTTTCCTCAAGCTTTCCTAGGTCAATTTTAAATTGTGTCAGATGAGAGATGGGTATTCCTTATGCGAGAGTGAGCATTCTTTTTTCTTATCCCACAGGCTTCTCACCTATTCTTCCATTATGTATACAACATAGGCAATTAACTCTGAAAGTGTTCACATTCAAGGTACAGAAGGATTATGTCCTAAAGAGTTTAAGAGGAAAAGATTAGAAACTACTCTGTTCTGTACTTATGTTATAAAATTCTTAGTAGTAAATATAGCATGAACACAGAATGAATTACCATTCAGATTTTCTGGTGTATCCTGGGTAAGACTTACAATTATAGTCATCATCAACGAAGCATAATAACAACCTAAGAGGGTCACTGGAAGCCAGTTTTCATAAATAGCATAATGGAAGACACAGCATCACAGTTATGATGTAACTATCATTAGACAAATGACATAAGGGTACTGCAGAAGCAAGACAATTTATATTGCTTCACTATAGACTCCAAAAATCCATGACATTTTGAGTAACAACAGTGTTGCCACCTTCTTTTCAAAGAGGGTAGGTTGGAGAACAAGAAAGTATCCATGACTGACCCATTTGGCAATAAAGAAGGCAAAGAGATAATTCCTGAAACTCATCAGAAAGATTTGGATTCTGAACACTTTGTAGATTCTTCACGAATTGATGAGAATGAAATACATAACTCATCTCTGTTATTCTAAATCTTCATCAAGATATCACCATGTATCACATGGGCCTATGAATTTTGTAAGTCATTTTTTTTAAAGTAAGCTTCATGCCCAGCATGGAGCCCAATTCATAACCTGAGATCAAGACCTAAGCTGATATCAAGAGTTAGACACTTAAACAGAGTCACCAAGATGCCCCTGTAATCCATTTTTTTAAGAATCTTTTTTTAGTGTTTATTTATCTATCTTGAGAGACAGACAGAGAAAGCATGGGTAGAAGAGAGGGAGAGATAGAGAGGGAGAGGCAGAGAGAGAGGGAGAGAGGGAGAGAGGGAGAGAGGGAGAGAGGGAGAGAGGGAGAAGAGGGAGAGAGGGAGAGAGGGAGAGAGGAAGAGAGGGAGAGAGGGAGAGAATCCCAAGCAGGCTCTGCCCAGTGCAGAGATGTGGGACTTGATCCCACAGCTGTGAAATCATGACCTGAGCTGGAATAAGAGTTGGAAGTTTAACAAACTGAGCCACACAGGCGCCCCCACCACTTTGATCCATTTTTAAAATCAAATTGTTTATATAGACCTCACAAAAGTATTTGTCAAGGGCCTTAAATACCCTAAAAGTGACCTTGACTTAACAATGTGGGGATAGGTAGGTTTAGCCTTCCCGCTCAAACTTAGGACAAATATGAAAATCATTCCAACTTCAGAGTTTCACACAGGTTTAGCTGAGGCATCTCCTGAGATTTTATCACAACTGAATTTCTCCATCTGCCCAGACCTGCTCCCTTCCCTGCCCACCCTTCCCTTCCTTTGCATGCGTATTGATCATAAGAGCACTCACTGTCTAATAAATGTCCAGCATGCTAATCTCTGTGTCAAGGGTCTGCTTACTAAGCCAACTAACCTGTGACACACTATCATTTCCAGTTGAGCATGGGTTATAAAATAAAAACCTGATTTTCCTAATTTGGGAAAACTTTGGAATTAGAACACATATTTGGATTAGAAACTGTGTGTGTATTATTGAGTTGTATTTATTGAGACTCCAGTATTTCAGATTTCACTATTTCATACAGAGAGGCCTTTGACAGTTTACTGAAATGAATGTTCTTTGTTAAATAATTTTCCAAGGAC